TAAAATCATGGTTAATTATAGAACCACACTTAATTTCCCAGAGTCAGTGCTCGCTCTACTGGAATCTGGTCCGGCCATCTGCTGGACGCAGAGAGAGTGACCATGAGGGAAACAAATAAGACGGAAAACTGTGTTAGGCTTCTCTCTGTGATGCAACAGTCCAATACAAAGTTCAGAGTCAGAATTTTTACAGAGGATTACTGAAACCAGAGTGAACAAGGTGGGATTCAATGGTAATTTTTTTTACTATTTTTAGATCATACACATTTTCTCAACTCAAACTCCTTGAGTGGTTTTAAAAACAGTTTTTTAATCGTTAGTTCCAGCACCGCTCTAGCTCCTCTCGCTCTGATTGGTGTCTCCAAGGGCAGAGAGTCACTGGAAGTGTCTAAACCAGGAGACATGTGCCACTGAGCTCGACCCATTGACTTGAACGAGCGTTCATGCTTAGGCCTCGGGGCTTGGTTTTATTCAACTCAGTTACAAAGGGAAATCACATTATTTTTTTGTCTTCCAGTCTATCGCCATCTTATGGACGATTTAAGTCCCGTATCCAACTCCACTGGTTTGGACCTTCTAACCACAGTCCATACATGAGGACAAACTTATCCAGCAACTAAATATTTGCAACTACACAGCTGTTGTATTAGATATAAATATATCCAAGATTGTATTTCAAAAATAATTACAAACAAATCACAGTTGTTCTGTTTAATCCTTCTCTCTAAAATCAGTCACCAAAGGCCAAAACACACAGTCCTGCTCTATCTGAACAATGATCTCATGCATAATATGGGACACTTATAATTAAGGTTCGGTATCCAAATTTGATACTGTTAAACCTTCTCAGGATTTTACCAGGGTATACGGTATTACTGTATTACCAAAATGTTTTAGTATGACTTTGATAAACTACGAAGCCACACCACTGTACGGTCTATGTTTCACATGAACCATCTCCAACGTGATAGAAACACAGAACAGACTGACCATCAGCAGCACATCCTCTGTCACAGAGAGAACACTCATATTCCACCGAGTCGTGTCCTTTAGTCCGACAGAAGCTGAACCGCATCAGCGCACAATGAGCGAGCTGTTTTTATCAGTGTTTTATAATTTATGCAAATGAGCCTTGTGGTTTTAAGTTTTGTTTCTGTAAAATGTAAACAAATGTGGCCTGAAGCCAAAATGCTGCCAAACTACAGAAGTACTAGTATTTTTATTTTTTTTTGGGACCAACTCGCTTGTGGCCGGACTTGCCGTCTTGTCTTGGTCTCTTATGAGTGTCACGTGACAACGGAATGAAACTGATCGAACATCATCTCCCCACGCAGTTAAAAGAAACATTATAGAAACTATTAGTTTTAAATTATGAAACATTAAACTGAAAATACAACCACACATTCATTTGTGCTGAGCAAACTAATTTAGGTATCAATAAATTATAATATTATATTAAGTCCTTATGCGCTGCAGATTTTTTTAATGATGTAATGAAAGTGATACCGTGGTTTTGATACCGCGGGATACTGTAATATCGTATTACCACCCAACCCTACTTACACCTCAAACTCACTCCCACCGGCCTGTGGCCATAACAGACGTAAGAACTACCAGCTTTTTAATGAGCTGAATTAGACACTGCAGAGAAAGATCATTATATCATTATATGATCAGCTCAGTCCCAGACTCCAGCATTAGAGTACAAACAGTATTATATAAATGTGTCTTACCTGAGAATCTTGAGTTTACAGTGGACGCTCTTTAAACCCACTGAGAGATTTTCTACACCTGAATCCATCAGCTCATTATGGCTCAGATCCAGTTCGGTCAGATTGGAGGAAGGAGACATTAAGATGGAGGATGACAGAGCACTGCCGGACCGCTCAGTGAGTTCACACCAACTCAGCCTGAAATGTTTGTAAAACCTTTTATTAATAATGTTATTCAATTTATGCTTCCCATATGCAAACTAAATCTAATATTTAAATGAGGTCTAAATAAGAGAATAAAGTCAAGTGTACTCACAAAGCCTTTGTTGATACTTTTACCACTGGCATCATTCCTAAAAGGACTTCCTCTGATTTGCAGTATTTTTTCAAATCAAACACGTCCAGGTTCTCATCTGAAGTCAGCAACACGAAGGTGAGAGCAGACCACTTAGCAGGAGAGAAGGTTTCATAGTCATTTTTCTCTGAGTGCAGATACTTCTTTATCTCCTCCACAAGAGAGTTGTCGTTGAGCTCATTCAGACAGTGGAACAGGTTCATGCTCTTGTCCGCGTCACTGCAGCTTCAATCTTTGTTTTGATGTAGGCGATGGTTTCCTTATTTATCTTCTCTGTGTTTTCAGACGTCTTTGTCACGTCCTTCAGGAGCTCATGATTAATCTTGAGTGAGAGACCAAGAAGAAAACGCAGAAACAGATCCCAGTCTCCATTTGTACTCTCCAACACTTTGTCCACTGCAGACTTGTAGAAGTCTGATGCAGACTGGTCTGAAGAGTCTGAGGGGCTGAACACATTCCTGCCCTCATCATTAAACGTGTGGAAGGCATAAAAAGCTGCCAAGAACTCTTGGATGCTCAGGTGGACAAAGCTGAAAAACAGCTTAGGGTAAAGTTCACATTCATCTCGTTTGACCTTTGCGAGCAGGCCAGAGTAGACCGCTGCTTCTTCCATATCCAGACCATAGCTGTTCAGGTCGTCTTCAGTGAACAGGAGGTTTCCTTTTTCCATCTCTTCAAAAGCCATTTTGCTCAGTCCTAAGATGTTTTTCACATTTCTTTCATTCCAGGTTTTTGAACGTTCTTCTGTGTCCTCATTGTACTTGGCATTGGCCTGTGTGCACTGCAGCAGAAGGAAGTGAATGAACAGATCTGTCAGGGTCTTTGGGATCCCCTGGTGATCATTTTGTACGAAAGACTTCAGAACTTCGGATGTGATCCAACAGAAAACAGGAATATAACACATCAAATAAATGCATCTGGACTCTTTTACATGACACAAGATTTTCTCAGCCAAAGCTGAATCAAATCGCTTTTTGAAATACTCCTCCTTCTGCTCATCGTTGAATCCTCGGACCTCAGTCGCTCGCGCCACTTTGTCAGCAGAAATACACTGAGACGCAGCAGGGCGGGAGGTGATCCAGAGCTGAGCTTTGGGAAGCAGGTTTCCAACAATCAAGTTAGTCAAAAGATTATTCAGTGTCGTTTTCTGAGTAATATCTGACAAAATCGGCTGCGGGTCAAAGTTAAGATCTAAACGACACTCATCCAATCCATCGAGAACAAACAGGATTTTGTACTGTTCATAGTTGGTTATTTCTGATGTCTTCATGCAGGGGTAGAAGTCATATAGAAGTTCTTCCAAACTGAGCTCCTTGTCGTTTCTCAGGTTCAGTTCTCGAAAAGGAAGAGGGAAGGTCATGTTTACGTTCTGACTGGAGGCTCCCTCAGCCCAGTCCAACATGTACTTCATTGAGGCAAAGGTTTTTCCAATGCCTGCTATTCCAGTTGTAAGTACAGTTTTGATATCATCATTTGGTCTGTCAGGAGAGGGTTTGAAAATGTCCTTGTAGTTAATGGGAATCTCCTTCCTCAGTTCAATGTTCTTTCCCCGTTGGACCAGTTGGCTCTCACTTAGTTGGCAGACCTCATCTCTCTCCTCTTCAATGATGTAAAGGTCGGTGTAGACGTCCCTCAGGGAAACACCAGTGGTCTTACATCTGTCTACACCTTCAGACACCCACTCGTACTGTTTTATCAACGTCCTCTTGAGGTTACGCTGGCTCACAATATCTGGTTTCTCTGTAAATACAATTAAGAAAATAAAATAATTGCAATAAGACACAGAAAATGAGGCTTAGTGTATAGTGTATATATGCACTATGCACTGGGGTTTGGGTTTTGTATTTGGGTTTTGGGAATTGGGTGTGCTCGAGCGCGGGGTGGATAAGGGTATTTGTGGATGTGGCCGTATTTGCATGTGTCTGGCAATGCCAATAAAAGCCTGATAGGCCAACAGCAGTTCCTTTTTGGCGTCTTTGTTTCACCCCCGCTGATATGAATGGATCCTCCCACGTCCTAAAAATTGCGTTGTAGCTCTTCCCTTGTCGAGAACAGGTGAATTGTTTAAATTTCCAATAAAAATGCGCTATGTGCTACTTTTTAATTCATTATTGGGTTTTGCGTATAACAAGCGATTAATCGTGATTAATCACAGAACTCATGCGATTAATGCAATTAAGATTTTTTTTATTTTTGTCCAGCCCTAATGCATGTATATATGTAGATGTAGAAGTTTTGTGTTTCATTAATGAAATTTGAGTATTTTTTAAAAGATATTTATGAATATGACATTTTGTATTTATGGGAATTACTCTGAATTTTGACAGTTTTAAATGTTTAATGTTGAATATTTAAGGAGACCTTTGAAATGTTGTCATGTTGCTTTATGTAAATAGACTCTTTAATGCCTCTGTATCTGACCAAGGACTGCAGATGGAAGGAAGCTTGAGCTAAATCTGGTACAGAGCATCTTTTCTCTTTAAGATTAATGTTTTCTGTGCACATTCCTTGTTTAATAAATAAATAAAATAGATTGTTAAATAAATAAATAAAATAGAGAACAATGAGGAGCATTTAAATATTGTGGAGGTAAATGGACTTAAAAAACAAAGAGAAGAAAAGACAATGATGAGATATAATTGTCAGTTAAGTTGGTTGGTCTTACCTCGTATGTGAGTGGTCCGGTGCAGGAGCTCTGGAGGCACTGGCTGAGCAGCATCAGGTCTGGAGGTGATCCAGACGAGAGCAGAGGGGAGCAGGTCTCCTCTGATCAGGCTGCTCAGGAGCACAGTCACTGGGGCAGACTCGTACACGTCTGTCACTCTGTCCTCCACAGTCCAGTCCACTTTAAACTCCTCCAGACCGTCCAGGATGAACACACAGCTCAGCTTGTTATAGTCAGACATGACACACTGCTCAGTTTCTTTGAAGACTTGGTTCAGAAGTTTCACAAAACTCAGTGTTTGTGTGAGTGTGTTAACTAGTGAATATGTGAGAGGAAAGACTGTTGTCTGTTTATTGGCACTAAAAGGCCGTCTGCAGTCAGACGTAACCCAGTCGTGTAAGACTTTCCGCACCAGGTAGGACTTCCCGACCTCAGCTTCTCCAATGGTCAACACGGTTCTTACTGGTTTACCTGCTTCTTTCTCAAACAGACTAGACACTGTGATTTGTTGCTTTTTTCCATTTCTATCCACTCTGTCTGGTCTGATGTGTTCTGTGTTTTTCTGGTTTGGGTGGGATGGATTTTCTTCAAAAACAAACTTTGTTTCAAAAATGGTCTTCAGCTTTGTTTTCAACGCCTGTCGCCTCTTCTCAGTCTCTAAAAATCATAAATAAGAAAATATGACCAAACCAAGTACAAGTACAGATTTTTATTTTAAACTAAGGATGCACCAGTACTGTACTGATGTCAAATATTGGTGCAGATACTGAAAATTTTTGCTGGATTGGATATTAGTCTGCAAATATCGGTTCAGCCGATATCCTGGTTGGACATGTGATGGTGTGATAAAACTATTTATTGGTCATAGTTGGCCCTGAAAGTCTAATAATGTTTGAACTTTAAACAAAACTATTCTGTAGATACTTAACTATTGAGATATTTAACAGCTACATAAACTGTTTGGATCAGTTTTGTCATATTTTATTGTGGAAATAAATGCTGTTTTCAGTCTCTGCTCTGGTGTCGGTTGATATCGGTACCTGTGGAAACTTAAAGCTGCAGTATCAAAATCGGAACTGAAAAAGATGGATTGGTGCATCACTATTTCAAAACACAATGGACTGCAAGTAATTTACCAAATGACAGGGTGTTTCTTGTGACCATCTTATTAATCTCTGTTTTTTCTACTCCAGAAGATGATTAGAATTGTTAATCAAGCAAATTTCCCCACACCAACAAATCCTCTTTTTTTTTATAATGAGTACAGTTAACCTCAGAAGAACAGGCATATTTAAAAAAAAAATAATAAAGACAATGGAAAAAAAGCTATGGTTAAAAGCTCTGAAAAGCTCTTCTTTAAGGTTAAAGTACATATTACAGATTCTGATGATACTCATATTTTGACTTATTATTGTGGGATAATAAATGACAGTTAAAGGGATAGTTCGGGTTTTTTGACATGAATCTGAATGGCATCCCCATGAGCAGTGTCGTGCATCCACACTGACTTACCTCCGACAGTGTCCGGTGAGCCGAGATACTGCCCGTTTTTCGGTGCTTACGAAAGTAGTCCGGCAAATTGGCTGGGGACATTAAAATAAAGCATTTTTCTTCTCAAAACAATATGTGTTCAAAAGAGTGATACATTTGCATCACAAAACCATCGTCCTCAATAAAGTCAGACCTCATAATCGCTTGGCACTATTTTCTCTCCATTTGTATCACTGCGTGCTGCCGCCAGGTGACAGCCGCACACGGATCCATCACTTTGTTCAGTTGTTCGGCAGTGTTTACATGCGCAGACCACCGTGACGTGAGAGAGCTAACATGGGAGCTAGAGTCATAAGTATATAAGCTTGTATAAGATACATAAGAATATATCTAAAAATGGTGCGAACTCTTGATTATCCAGGCTCTAACAACAAAAATCTGGCTGAATCTCCACAAACATTTCACCATTTTCCTGTCACGGACTTTGCGCTGAGGAAACTTTGGCTTCTTGCCTTTGGCTTCAATGTGGAAACCAAAGATAAAAAGCTTTGCGTGTGCAGTGCGCAATTCAGCAACGAAGATATGTTCCTTCATGCCCAGGACAGAGGAAGAAATATGCACCCCAGGTAAGAACAAAGAGGTGCCGCTATATTTACAAGTGAACAGGCTCAAGAATCAGCAGTAAATCACTCAGTGTCATATCACCAGTGAAGCTTCTACAAAACGTACCTTTATAAGTCGACTGTTATTACTATTGTAAATGTCGCGTACACTATTGGCAGCAGCTACGTGGACGTGTGGATGATTCCATGTTTCTATTAGTCGTCCATGCTTCAGTCACAGTGTCGGCTCTGTGTTCACTGTATACAAGTTTGTAAATGACGTGATGGTGATTGTCGCTCACTCGGTCTCTCATGGCTCCAGCTTCAACTTGTACCACTTTTCTGTCTTTTCTCTCTCTCTCTGCTCGTTCTAACTCCATCTGGCGAATTTTGGCATCAGTATATTCGGGTTCATAAAGATCTCCCCTTGGCTTTTTGGTAAAGGCAATGTGTTTATTGTCAATGTCGTAATCAGACATGTTGTCGCTAACATTCCGAGCAGTAAACAAAGTGAACCAGGCGCGGCTGTCACCTGGCGGCAGCGCGCAGTGATACGAACGGACAGAAAATAGTGCCAAGCGATTATGAGGTCTGACTTTTTTGAGGACAATGGTTTTGTGATGCAAATGTATCACTCTTTTGAACACATATTGTTTTGAGAAGAAAACGGTTTATTTTAATGTCCCCAGCCAACTTGCCGGACTACTTTCGTCAGCACCAAAAACGGCCAGTACCTCGGCTCACCGGACGCTGTCGGGGGTAACGTCAGTGTGGATGCACGGTATTGCTCACGGGGATACCATACAGATTCATGTCAAAAAACCCGAACTATCCCTTTAATTAAGTAAATTAAGAAGCAATTTCCAATGAAAAGTTGAAAAATGTGTTAAAAATTACATGAAGTAAAAAGTTTTATTTGAGAGTTCCATTATGACGACATCCCAGTGGGACATTCTATCTAAAAGTTTGTCACTTTTTCCCCAATATTTTAAACATTATTTCAACAAAATAAAGGTGTTTTCTTATTTTTTATAATTAGTCCAGTAATAATTTCTGTGTACATTAGAGGAGATTTGTCCTACTGTACATGATTGTTACAAGGTCAAAGTTATGGAGTTCCCTACCGTGATGTCATGATTTCCAACCAGAAAGTAAATTTTTAAGCATAAAAACATGATCAAACTGGGAAAAATTTATAGTAAAATCTTAAAAAAAATTACTTTAACTATGTTTTCGTAGGATGAGTAGTCTAACCTGTCGTGTGCACTTTGAGGTTCACCTTCTCAGTGTGAGACGAGTGTTCACTGTGGTGCAGAGAAGAGGGACTGGCCTGTGTATAAACTGTATTAAATGTGTGAGCGTGAATACTCACCTCTGCACTCTGTGACTGAGTGGATGTGCTGCTCTGGGATCTTGTTTTTTCCTGAAGGTCTGGTCAAGGATCCACAGCTGAGCAGAGGGAAGCAGGTTCCCCTGCAGCAGGTTTGTCAGCAGCTCGTCCACTGGAGCGCTCTGTGTGATGTCCTTCAGTTCCTGATTGTTTTCAAAGTCCAGAGGGAGAGTGCATTTGTCCAGTCCGTCCAGGATGAGGAGGATCTTATATTCATCGTAGTAACAGCCCGTGGACACTTCACAGTCCAAGTACTGGTTGAGGAGGTCCTTTAGGCTTTTGTGTGAGGATGGTTTGAGCTCATCAAAAGGAATTGAAATAACAAAGTCAGTTTTAAATTTCCCTTCTGCCCAATCCAACTGGAACATTTCAGAGTAAAAGGTTTTGCCGATTCGAGGGACTCCTGTGGTGAGCACTGTTCTCACTTTGCTGCGGGTTAATACTTTTGAGAGGAGGACTTTTTCTTGCTTGTCAGATTTGATCTCATACAGTTCAGTCTCCATCTCTTGTCTCTTCACTCTCTGCTTGATTTTGTCTTTCAGTTTTTTGGAGAGTTCATCAAGAGCATTTTTATCTAGGATGAAAAATGGGTTGTTAAATTACAAAACTGAATCACACATTTCATGATTCAAAGAAAAGAAAATAAGTTTTTTTCTATTTAAAATCAAGTTTAGCATTGCACATCTTTAAAACCATTACAAAGTCATCCTTCCATCGATATATCGCTCATCTCTGATAATGAGCCGTTACTGGTTGGTCTTACCTCGTATGTGAGTGGTCCGGTGCAGGAGCTCTGGGGGCACTGGCTGAGCAGCATCAGGTGTGGAGGTGATCCAGACGAGAGCAGAGGGGAGCAGGTCTCCTCTGATCAGGCTGCTCAGGAGAACAGTCACTGGGGCAGACTCGTACACGTCTGTCACTCTGTCCTCCACAGTCCAGTCCACTTTAAACTCCTCCAGACCGTCCAGGATGAACACACAGCTCAGCTTGTTATAGTTAGACATGACACACTGCTCAGTTTCTCTGAGCAGTTGGTTCAGAAGTTCCACAAAACTCAGTTTCTCTTGTAAAAGAAGCTTTGAAGACATGAGTGGAAACAGGAGGAGGACTGCCTCCTCTTTGCCTTTCCACCCAAACCAATGAAGAGAAACCACTTGCCATCCATCCTAAAAAAGATTCTGCCTTTGCCCAGTCTTTGATTAATTCCTGCACGTGGAAAGAGCGGTCCAGCCCTTCCTCTGCCTCTGTCAGCACAGTGCGGACTCTCTCCTCTTTCTCTGATTTGAATAGATCTGAGAGTGATGAGATCTTCACAGGATTTGCATCTCTGCTCTTATAGACGAGCTCGGTCTTTTTCTCTTTTTTTGTGCTTTGGATTTCTTTGTTAAACCTTTCTTTCAGTTTTGATGCAAGTCTCTTGTGGCGCTCCACAGTCTCTGTAAAAATACATACACATATACACAATTATATAAAGAAAATTCCTTACTTTACTATATTCTACTGTATCTGTAGAGTTGCTTTAAACTGCGGGCTGACAGTGGGAGTCACACTAATCATTATCAAACATCTGAACATTATTATATAATAGCACTGTAGGATTATAGCATGATATATTTGTATTTCATACACATAACAGAATACTTGGTACCTCTGCACTCTGTGAATGAGTGGATGTGCTGCTCTGGGATCTTGTTCTGTCCTGAAGGTCTGGTCAGGATCCACAGCTGAGCAGAGGGAAGCAGGTTCCCCTGCAGCAGGTTTGTCAGCAGCTCGTCCACTGGAGCGCTCTGTGTGATGTCCTTCAGTGTCTTGTTGTTTTCAAAGTCCAGAGGGAGAGTGCATTTGTCCAGTCCGTCCAGGATGAGAAGGATCTTATATTCATCGTAGTAACAGTACTTGGACAATTTACAGTCCAAGTACTGGTTGAGGAGGTCCTTTAGGCTTTTGTCTGAGGATGGATTGAGCTCATCAAAAGGAATAGAAATAACAACGTCAGTTTTAAACTTCCCTTCTGCCCAATCCAACTGGAACATTTCAGAGTGAAATGTTTTGCCGATTCGAGGGACTCCTGTGGTGAGCACTGTTCTCACTTTGCTGTGGGTTAATATTTCTGAGAGGAGGACTTTTTCTTGCTTGTCAGATTTGATCTCATACAGTTCAGTCTCCATCTCTTGTCTCTTCACTCTCTGCTTGATTTTGTCTTTCAGTTGTTTGGAGAGTTTCTCTTTAGCATTTTTATCTAGGATAAGCATAACAAACATTATTCAATCAATCATTTATATTTTTATACCAGTTTGAGAGGCAGCATTGACCAAAATTAATACAGCAATATTTATTTTAGATTCTCTAACATTTGTCAGTTTATAGAATGGGCTGTTAAATTACAAAACTGGCTCACACATTTCACAGTTCATAGAAAAGAAAATATGTTTTTCTAGATTTTTGACAAAAATTTTATTTAAAACCATTACAAAGTCATCTTTCCATCGATATATCGCTCATCTCTGATAATGAGCCGCTACTGGTTGGTCTTACCTCGTATGTGAGTGGTCCGGTGCAGGAGCTCTGGGGGCACTGGCTGAGCAGGTGTGGAGGTGATCCAGACGAGAGCAGAGGGGAGCAGGTCTCCTCTGATCAGGCTGCTCAGGAGAACAGTCACTGGGGCAGACTTGTACACGTCTGTCACTCTGTCCTCCACAGTCCAGTCCACTTGAAACTCCTCCAGACTGTCCAGGATGAACACACAGCTCAGCTCATTATAGTCAGACATGACACACTGCTTAGTTTCTATGAAAACTTGGTTCAGAAGTTCCACAAAACTCAATTCCTTTTGTAAAAGAAGTTTTGAAGACATGAGTGGAAACAGGAGGAGGACTGCCTTCTCTTTGTCTTTCCACCCAAACAATGACGCCGCCCTTCCTGAAATAGATTCTGCCTTTGCCCAGTCTTTGATTAATTCCTGCACGTGGAGAGAGCGGTCCAGCCCTTCCTCTGCCTCTGTCAGCACAGTGCGGACTCTCCCCTCTTTCTCTGATTTGAATAGATCTGAGAGTGATGAGATCTTCACAGGATTTGCATCTCTGCTCTTATAGAAGAGCTCGGTCTTTTTTGTGTCTTGAATTTCTTTTTCTTTGTTAAATCTTTCTTTCAGTTTTGATGCAAGTCTCTTGTGGCGCTCCACAGTCTCTGTAAAAATACATACACATATACACAATTATATAAAGAAAATTCCTTACTTTACTATATTCTACTGTATCTGTAGAGTTGCTTTAAACTGCGGGCTGACAGTGGGAGTCACACTAATCATTATCAAACATCTGAACATTATTATATAATAGAACTATAGGATTATAGCATGATATATTTGTATTTGATACACATAACAGAATACTTGGTACCTCTGCACTCTGTGACTGAGTGGATGTATTTCTTTGGGATCTTGTTCTGTCCTGAAGGTCTGGTCAGGATCCACAGCTGAGCAGAGGGAAGCAGGTTCCTCTGCAGCAGGTTTGTCAGCAGCTCGTCCACTGGAGCGCTCTGTGTGATGTCCTTCAGTGTCTTGTTGTTTTCAAAGTCCAGAGGGAGAGTGCATTTGTCCAGTTCGTCTAGGATGATGGTCATCTCTTCACTGCTGTAGTCGAAACTTTGATTGGAACCCTCAAAGCAGTCACTGAGCAGATCTGTCAAACTTTGGGTTTGTTCAGAATTTAACTTCTCAAGGTCCAGAAAAATCTTCAGTTGTTTTCCTTTAGACTTTTTTTTGTCTTTCACATATTTCTTGGCTTGAAAAGTCTTTCCAATCCCAGCCACACCTACAGTCAGTACAGTTTGTCCTTTTTTTAACAAAGCACCAGGCTTCTTAACGTTATTCGTTTTCATGTCATATATTTTTGAATCAAGCTTCTCCTTGACGTCCTTTTCATATTTTTCTGTTGTTTTTTTATTTTGTATTTTCTGTTGTTTTGTTGAATCTAGTTGAAAATGATTAAACAATTGTTAAAATTATTAAAAGTAAAAGAATGAAATGCTTGAAAATATATGTACATATGTATGAACATGTACCTGGTGTGAGCTTTGGGAAGCCCATTTCATTAACTTGTGTCTGATTCCTCTCCTTTAGAACTGGAAATATGGTAAAATATGAATTTACAGCAGCAAACATGCAGAAAAACAATCCATAAAGGACATGTCTGTCCCGTTTTTGATGCTCTGAGTCCGTCCTCCCTGCACCGAACCTCCTTTACAGCTCTTTCGCAACACAATAGGTTTGCATTTAGCTAATGTGAAGTTTATTATTATTATTTTGTATGATGCTTTTGTATATTTATGTCAAATGACCATAGACGGATCTACCTCTGAGGACCTCGAAACACTACTGGAGGTTGTGGTTTCATGGGGCCTTTAAATATACAAATACAAATGTAAACACTGAAAGTTGTAGGTTCTCTTCTAGACTCTTCACTCTGTCCTCAGGTCAGTAACTAAGTCCCAGAAATGATGTCAGTCTGGATGTTTCTTGTACCTTGGATTCTTCCCGTTGGAAGCATCAGTTGTGCTGGGAACACTGCTGGAAGTGGAGGATTCATTTGGCCTTTAAACAGAATACACAAACACAAATGATCAATGCTTGAATCCAACAGAGTCAGAGCCAAGAACTGTGAGATCAGAAAGTCCTTACCTGGGTTCACTGAAGTTTGGAGGTTCTCCTCTGGAGTTGTCACTCTTTACAGAGACGCTGCTCAGATCAGGAGAAGGAGGCCTGAATGTCACAAAGTGAAAGTGAAAATACAAAAGGAGATACACTAGAGACAAATATTAATAAATGCACATGAATAAATAAACTAAAACAGTGTTCAAATATTTAGGATGAATCAAAGTTTAAGAGTACATGTCACTCCAAATAAACAGCTAAAAGGAGTTAGGTTTAAGTTGGTGTTTTCTTTTTAAACAGCGAGAGGGAGCAGTGTGAAAACAAAGTCCTTACCTGGGTTCCCTGAAGTTTGGAGGTTCTCCTCTCGAGTTGTCGCTCTTTACAGAGACGCTGCTCAGAGGAGGAGGAGGCCTGAATGTGAATAAGGACAAAATTATTATTGTTTTGGTTATGACAAAGTAAGAACATTTTGTTAAGATTCAAAAGAGGAGATAGAAAAAAATGCATTGGCCTGTCTCTGTTACGAAGCTGTTTTAGATCAATATTGTGATTTACAATAAACAAAATGTGAAATCATGATCTGCTGATGTTATAGTTTCTCACTAAATAGCAGAAAAAGCTTTGTCTGGAATGTTCCACAGTGTGGCATTAAACCTTTCTATCTTCATGGACACCAAGCCAGACCAAGTTACAGGTCAGATCTGTGGAGAGGCGACCCCGCTCACAGTCATAATGTCTGTTTTTCTAGGTATTTTTGAGCGATAAAACCACCTGTAATTGAATAAATGTAAAGTAGAGCTGTTTAATGTCACACTGTGGAACATTCCAGGCAGACCAATGACATCTCCATAGATACAAACAGGGGACGGACCCTCACCAGAAAAGTTACACAATACACCTTTAAGGATTCATGTCACTCAAAATAAACAGCAAAAAGGAGTTATTTTTTAGCTGGTGCTTTCTTTTAAAATGGTGCTTTGTAGGTCTGTAACAAAAACAGATTTTGCTGGACGATTAATCGACCAAGAATTTATTGTGATAAAAGATGATATTGACATTTGAGACCATTTTCAACTAATATCATGACCATGGAATAAAAATGCAAATACAAACTTTCAAAGATCAATCAATTTTACTTTCTAAAGAACATTTAACACAGGAACTGTAAGACAACCAAAAACAATAGGCCTAAATAAAATAGACTTGTTCACATAAGAACAGACTAATGTTGTCTGGCTCACAGCGAGGACTTGCTGCACTTGAATAAACCATTTGTTGAACCAATCACAACCAAAACAATAAATAAAATGGATTATTAAGTCTCTGTAACAAAACTGCCCTCAAAAATAATTTGAGTCATTGACATTGGAATATTGTGTCTCTCTGTGGCTGCTGCTGTGGCCTCGTCATTTTGGTCTTGAAGTGTTCGTATGAACCTGTGACACATGATCCTGTTTCACTCTGAGGAAGCCTCTGTCCTGTCTGGTGTCATGTCTGAGTCATGTGTGTGTGTACGATTAATTGATTTATTGATTATTGTTACAGTCCTATGTGCAAGGGAGAAGAGTGAAAAGATTCAGGACAGATTGATCTGTGTCTCTGAACTGAGTTCTACACATGATCAGTCTGGGATGGCTCTCTCGCTAAAGAGATAGGAAAATGATTTTTTGTGACTCATAAATATCCACAGAATCCATCTGAGGTGCGAGCTGAGTTTTTTTGTTTGTTTGTTTTTTACCAGCGAGGTCTTGGAGCGTCCTGGCAAACTTTAACTCTGTTTATGCTCAGTACCACCAGAAAGTCCTTACCTGGGTTCACTGAAGTTTGGAGGTTCTCCTCTGGAGTTGTCACTCTTTACAGAGACGCTGCTCGGAGCAGGAGAAGGAGGCCTGAATGTCACAAAGTGAAAATGAAAATACAAAAGGAGATACACTAGAGACAAATATTAATAAATGCACATGAATAAATAAACTAAAACAGTGTTCAAATATTTAGGATGAATCAAAGTTTAAGAGTACATGTCACTCCAAATAAACAGCTAAAAGGAGTTAGGTTTAAGTTGGTGTTTTCTTTTTAAACAGCGAGAGGGAGCAGTGTGAAAACAAAGTCCTTACCTGGGTTCCCTGAAGTTTGGAGGTTCTCCTCTCGAGTTGTCGCTCTTTACAGAGACGCTGCTCAGAGGAGGAGAAGGAGGCCTGAATGTGAATAAGGACAAAATTATTATTGTTTTGGTTATGACAAAGTAAGAACATTTTGTTAAGATTCAAAAGAGGAGATAGAAAAAAATGCATTGGCCTGTCTCTGTTACGAAGCCGTTTTAGATCAATATTTTGATTTACAATAAACAAAATGTGAAATCATGATCTGCTGATGTTATAGTTTCTCACTAAATAGCAGAAAAAGCTTTGTCTGGAATGTTCCACAGTGTTGCATTAAACCTTTCTATCTTCATGGACACCAAGCCAGACCAAGTTACAGGTCAGATCTGTGGAGAGGCGGCCCCGCTCACAGTCATAATGTCTGTTTTTCTAGGTATTTTTGAGCGATAAAACCACCTGTAATTGAATAAATGTAAAGTAGAGCTGTTTAATGTCACACTGTGGAACATTCCAGGCAGACCAATGACATCTCCATAGATACAAACAGGGGACGGACCCTCACCAGAAAAGTTACACAATACACCTTTAAGGATTCATGTCACTCAAAATAAACAGCAAAAAGGAGTTATTTTTTAGCTGGTGCTTTCTTTTAAAATGGTGCTTTGTAGGTCTGTAACAAAAACAGATTTTGCTGGACGATTAATCGACCAAGAATTTATTGTGATAAATGATGATATTGACATTTGAGACCATTTTCAACTAATATCATGACCATGGAATAAAAATGCAAATACAAACTTTCAAAGATCAATCAATTTTACTTTCTAAAGAACATTTAACACAGGAACTGTAAGACAACCAAAAACAATAGGCCTAAATAAAATAGACTTGTTCACATAAGAACAGACTAATGTTGTCTGGCTCACAGCGAGGACTTGCTGCACTTGAATAAACCATTTGTTGAACCAATCACAACCAAAACAATAAATAAAATGGATTATTAAGTCTCTGTAACAAAACTGCCCTCAAAAATAATTTGAGTCATTGACATTGGAATATTGTGTCTCTCTGTGGCTGCTGCTGTGGCCTCGTCATTTTGGTCTTGAAGTGTTCGTATGAACCTGCGACACAAAATCTTGTTTCACTCTGAGGAAGCCTCTGTCCTGTCTGGTGTCATGTCTGAGTCATGTGTGTGTGTACGATTAATTGATTTATTGATTATTGTTACAGTCCTATGTGCAAGGGAGAAGAGTGAAAAGATTCAGGACAGATTGATCTGTGTCTCTGAACTGAGTTCTACACATGATCAGTCTGGGATGGCTCTCGCTAAAGAGATAGGAAAATGATTTTTTGTGACTCATAAATATCCACAGAATCCATCTGAGGTGCGAGCTGAGTTTTTTTGTTTGTTTGTTTTTTACCAGCGAGGTCTTGGAGCGTCCTGGCAAACTTTAACTCTGTTTATGCTCAGTACCACCAGAAAGTCCTTACCTGGGTTCACTGAAGTTTGGAGGTTCTCCTCTGGAGTTGTCACTCTTTACAGAGACGCTGCTCAGATCAGGAGAAGGAGGCCTGAATGTCACAAAGTGAAAGTGAAAATACAAAAGGAGATACACTAGAGACAAATATTAATAAATGCACATGAATAAATAAACTAAAACAGTGTTCAAATATTTAGGATGAATCAAAGTTTAAGAGTACATGTCACTCCAAATAAACAGCTAAAAGGAGTTAGGTTTAAACTGGTGTTTTCTTTTTAAACAGCGAGAGGGAGCAGTGTGAAAACAAAGTCCTTACCTGGGTTCCCTGAAGTTTGGAGGTTCTCCTCTCGAGTTGTCGCTCTTTACAGAGACGCTGCTCAGAGGAGGAGAAGGAGGCCTGAATGTGAATAAGGACAAAATTATTATTGTTTTGGTTATGACAAAGTAAGAACATTTTGTTAAGATTCAAAAGAGGAGATAGAAAAAAATGCATTGGCCTGTCTCTGTTACGAAGCCGTTTTAGATCAATATTTTGATTTACAATAAACAAAATGTGAAATCATGATCTGCTGATGTTATAGTTTCTCACTAAATAGCAGAAAAAGCTTTGTCTGGAATGTTCCACAGTGTTGCATTAAACCTTTCTATCTTCATGGACACCAAGCCAGACCAAGTTACAGGTCAGATCTGTGGAGAGGCGGCCCCGCTCACAGTCATAATGTCTGTTTTTCTAGGTATTTTTGAGCGATAAAACCACCTGTAATTGAATAAATGTAAAGTAGAGCTGTTTAATGTCACACTGTGGAACATTCCAGGCAGACCAATGACATCTCCATAGATACAAACAGGGGACGGACCCTCACCAGAAAAGTTACACAATACACCTTTAAGGGTTCATGTCACTCAAAATAAACAGCAAAAAGGAGTTATTTTTTAGCTGGTGCTTTCTTTTAAAATGGTGCTTTGTAGGTCTGTAACAAAAACAGATTTTGCTGGACGATTAATCGACCAAGAATTTATTGTGATAAATGATGATATTGACATTTGAGACCATTTTCAACTAATATCATGACCATGGAATAAAAATGCAAATACAAACTTTCAAAGATCAATCAATTTTACTTTCTAAAGAACATTTAACACAGGAACTGTAAGACAACCAAAAACAATAGGCCTAAATAAAATAGACTTGTTCACATAAGAACAGCCTAATGTTGTCTGGCTCACAGCGAGGACTTGCTGCACTTGAATAAACCATTTGTTGAACCAAACACAACCAAAACAATAAATAAAATGGATTATTAAGTCTCTGTAACAAAACTGCCCTGAAAAATGATTTGAGTCATTGACATTGGAATATTGTGTCTCTCTGTGGCTGCTGCTGTGGCCTCGTCATTTTGGTCTTGAAGTGTTCGTATGAACCTGCGACACAAGATCCTGTTTCACTCTGAGGAAGCCTCTGTCCTGTCTGGTGTCATGTCTGAGTCATGTGTGTGTGTACGATTAATTGATTTATTGATTATTGTTACAGTCCTATGTGCAAGGGAGAAGAGTGAAAAGACTCAGACAGATTGATCTGTGTCTCTGAACTGAGTTCTACACATGATCAGTCTGGGATGGCTCTCGCTAAAGAGATAGGAAAATTATTTTTTGTGACTCATAAATATCCACAGAATCCATCTGAGGTGCGAGCTGAGTTTTTTTGTTTGTTTGTTTTTTACCAGCGAGGTCTTGGAGCGTCCTGGCAAACTTTAACTCTGTTTATGCTCAGTACCACCAGAAAGTCCTTACCTGGGTTTGCTGAAGTTTGGAGGTTCTCCTCTGGAGTTGTCACTCTTTACAGAGACGCTGCTCGGAGCAGGAGAAGGAGGCCTGAATGTCACAAAGTGAAAATGAAAATACAAAAGGAAATATGTAGGAGATAAATATTAATACATGTGTATAAATAAATAACATAAATAAGATAAAACATTGTTCACAGTTTTAGGATTAATCAAAGTTTCATTTCCTTCAAAATAAATGTGAAATAAACTCACCGGTCTGTGGACACAGGGTCCATATTTGGGGCAGAGATGTCTACATCAGCAGAAGCTCCCACACATCACCTGGACAAAATATTAATCGTCAGTAGCTGTTTTCAAGCCGGTCAGAACCGGAACCAAAGTGCTCACCGGTTAATGACCCGCTTTCAAACTATTGACAGGGTCATGTCATGAAAGTGACCAGTGAAGAGACCATCACCATAGGTTAGTCCCTACACAGAGACAAAAACTTGCCAATGCTCATGCCGCACATGTGGATGAAGTGAAGACAAAGCAGATAAAGAAAGAGACTGCAGATCAAAAACCTAAAACTGATACTGTCAAAGAATCGGCAGACAAGATAAACACTCTCACAAAAGTGGTAAATTCACAAGCAGAGACAGTGCAAAAGGAGCGTAGTACAATAAGTCACCGAGAGACTGTATACCTGTGCTAAGTGTGACCAAGTCGGTTCCCAGAGCTGCAACCACTGTTTCTCATGTGGCAACGAAGGCCACAGAGCCATTGGCTGCCTGAAACATCCAAGGTCGCAGGGAAATGAAAGCCGGATGCTGCAGAGGGACAAGCGGTAACAGGGACACCTTAACACAGTGACTGTACTAAAGACAAAAGTGAACCAGGCAAAAGCAAAGAAATGAAATTTTAAGAAAAAATTAAACCAAACTCCTCAGGTCACAGTAGATAGCAATGAGCCAATAGTGAATCTATTAGAGAAGAAAGCAACAACTAATTGTCTCCTTAATGGTTTATTTGTTAGTGCTCTGGTGGATACTGGGGCTCAGGTTACCCTGATAGACAGGGCTTGGAGGAACATGTACATTCTAGATGTTAGTGTCCACCGTATATCAGAGCCAGTGTTGGGAGTAACGCATTATTAAAGTAACGAATTACAGTAATGCATTGCTTTTTGCTGTAACACAGTAATGTGGCATTACAGGGGAAAAACTAGTAATATTTTACTCGGTACAAATGTGAGTAACGGGCGTTACAATGCTTTTTTTATCCTGGATTGAAGTGGTGGGTTTTTCTTCATTCAAATTCACTAAAATCACCTCGATATCAGCAGCAGTGAAATGCCGGAGGTGCACCCTCATAGACCTTCAGGTAACCGTGGGCGAAAGGACTGACAAAGAACTCCACGCTGTTTAGACCTGGTTTAGACCTGGGTCAGTTCTGGTTTAGACCTGGTTTACAGTCGTCCCTCCCTCTATCGCAGTTCACCTTTCACGGACTCGCTGTTTCGCAGACTTTTTTTTGTGCAATTTTGCATGCCTTTTGTTTTTACAGTGTATGAACATGTATTGTGTTCCTCCCGCTGCGTCCTGATTGGCCAAGAGACTCCTGTCTCCTGTACAGTACAGTACAGAATGTGTTCAGCTGCCAATTTAAAATACATGTTCAATCTCTATCAGTGTGATTCTGAAGTGCTGTATGTTTGCAAGTTTTCTCCCCGACGAAACCCACAACGTCGACGAAACGTTCTGCACTGACAAAGTCTCCTGCGCTCGCACTCAAAAGGCAGAGGAAGATGTAGCCATCGCACAAATAGTTGGATTTCTGGACACGCTGAAGGGAGAGAGAAGTTATGCGCTGTAGCAGAGTCTTGCACCAGGTCGGGTACAAGCAAATAGTTGCTGAAATCAGGACCGTGAGCCCGAGCAGCAGGGTGTCCATAAAGCACGCTCGGGTGACAGCCGCCCTTAGTAATGCAATAGTAATGTAATGCCTTACATTTTAAAGACAGTAATATTGTAATGTAACGAATTACTTTGAAACAACAGTGATAAGTAATAAATAACGCAGTACAGTTTTAAAGGAACTTGCCCAACAGTGATCAGAGCTAATGGAGTTTATGCAGTATGAACACATAGACCCTGAAGCTGTTAGTTTTGAGAATAACGGCGGGCTGAAGAAGTTATCAGCAGCCAAATTTTATTAGATGGCGGCAAAATTGTTGACTGGCTTTGGCTGAAACTCTAAATGGCAGTGGTTTCAGGGTCTGTGAACAAATGCCAAAAATCTATGTTGTTAATGGGGAATGTTTACCCCTCGATGAGTGGGTTATTTTAACAGTAAACTTACCAGGTAATGAAGACCCAAAGTTTTCACTAAATGTACCTTTCCTAGTCAGTTTGCAGCTGTTAGTAACACCACTCATAGGCTTTAATGTGGTGGAAGTGCTGATTCAAAGCAACCCAGAGCAGACCGCTTCTAACCAAGCAAACTTACTTGGGGGAGCATGATCTATTCCAGTTAATGATACACAAAGTATTCAGATTCAGATTCAGAAAACTTTATTGATCCCATAAGGCAATTCATTTGCAGCATCTCCGAGCAAACACAAACAAACACACAGTGTGTCAGTCCAATTGTCGTCCACCAGTGGAACTCAAAATAAATAACACATTGCAGAGTAAAACTTCATAAAACTATCATAAAACTGTACCCTTAGAATTTAATAATTTAATAGCACTGGGCACAAAAGAATTAGAAAACCTTTTGGTTTTCTGTACTGGAGCATAAAACCGACGCCCTGAAGGCATCAGGATAAAATCAGGAGCCAGAGGATGGAGCGGCTGAGCCACGAGACACTTGGCTTTGCTCAGCACTTGCTCCTCCCACAAAGAGTGCAGATCCCTCAGTTTGATCCCTGTGATTTTTTAACAGGTTTTAACAATATTGTGAAGTTTGTTTCTATCCTTCACAGTCAAGGATTCAAACCAGCAAATAAAAGAAAAAGTAAGAAGACTTTCAATAAAAGAACAATAAAAATTGTTAAGAATAATTTTGTTCACGTTAAAAGTATGGTGCAATTCATCCAGACTCATAGACAGAACACTGCTCAGGGACAATTAAGATTAGGGCACAAAGACACTTTAATTCCTGCAAGCAGTACTACCTAAGTAAAGTGTAAAGTCCCACCACAGCTAGACCCAAATGAGTCTTTAGTTCTATTTGAGCCAGAAGAAAGTTGCACCCAGTTACAACAGTTAGGACTAGGGCTGGGTATCATTAAGTTGCCGATACGATACATACCTTGATACATAGGCCACGATACGATACATATCTGGATACAGTGCACTCTTGATTTGATACAGTATATTTCAAATGTATTGCAGTAGCTCAGTTGGCAGAGCATTCGTTCACTGATCTGAAGGTTGGTGGTTCGAATCCAACTCTTGACATGAATAAAAAACAAACTCATTGGTTGAGTGGTCAGACCCACAGGTTGGCTGGTGTGATTCCACCTCCCACAGATGAATGCTGCCGTTGTGTCCTTGGGCAAGACACTTAACCCACCTCACCCCCAGCGTCTGCGTACACTGGTGTATGAATTTGTGTGTGTGTGAATGGGTGAGTGGTTCCTTGCTGTAAAGTGATTTGAGTGCCTTGAAGGTGGAAAAGCGCTATAGAAAAATGTGACCATTTACCAAATCAGTTCGATACAGTTCAATAAAAAGTGATGGCTAAATCATGGCTATGATACTAAAAGTTTTGAAGCACGCACATTTTAATCATCAGAACATGTCAAATGTGTCACATAAATGAGTTTCCTTCCTCTAAACAAACAACAAAACTGTAGCTGTAACAACATTTTAGTAAAATATACCAAAAAATACTCTTGGCCAAATATCGATACAGCAGTTCCTGAAATCGATAATGTATCATCACATGAAATGATACGATACATCGATATTTCAATATTTTTGCACACCCCTAGTTAGGACTAGGTGAAGGCCTTCTTGAGATCCAGGCTGGTAAAGTACATTACCACATAAAACATGATATTGTCTTAGCCAGGAAGTCCACTACTGTATGGGCAGTATTCAGCTAATAAAGAAAGTGATTGAGCCAGACTCACTAGTTGATTTTGACGATGAAACAAATACAGCCACTATTGCCCAAGCTGAAACAAAACTTCCACAAAGTTTATGGCAACCACTGGTAGATTTGAGCCATCTTGCGCAACAAGAGACAGTAGCAAAAATGTTGTATGAGGTGTTTTTTGTTTGTTTTTTACAGCGTGTGAACGCGTATTGTGTATTACAGGCGGGTAGTAATTACACACGGGTGAGTCAGGAGTAAACCAGGTCCAAACCAGGACTAATCTTGGACTTAAGAGAACGCCGAGCAGTTTGTCCGCAAAGCGCGATCGGGCAATTGTTGCGTTTACCTCCGTGAGGTGCGGAGCTGAGCCGGTCCTTTCTCCTGCGTCACCTCCAAGCCCGTCCTGACGGTGAGTCCTGTTTCAGTCCTGTTTCAGTTCTGGTTTAGTCCTGTTTTCATCCTAGTTCAGTCGTGGATTAGTCCTCCTCTTCAGTCCTGGAGGGGTTTTACAGCCTTAAAACAGATATAATAATTGTAAAATATAATTATTATGATTACTTGACTACTTATCGCAGGTTATTTTTAGAACGTAACCCCCGTGATAAACGAGGGACACTGTACTCTCACTTCACAACCTGTGCACATGGACTCACACTTGTCTCGACCGGGACGGAAAACGGAGAATTTCTTGTACAGGTCATTGTTAAATGTGCTTTTGCATTTTGGTATGTTGCAGACTGACCGACTGTTTGTGTCTCGCTCCTTCTGAGTCACAGACGCTACGAGAGACGCTCAGTTTAATGAACGGTACTGAAAACCCGGACATTTACATCACTTTATAAAAAAAAAAACCCGGACGCCCCGGACAGGACGCAAAATACGGACATGTCACCCTACTCCATATGCAGCCCCTGTTGTTTGTGTCCGCAAAAGGACGGCTCATTACACATGTGCATAGACTAACACTTGCTGAACCAGAAAACTATTTCTGACAAGCATCCCACGGATCCAAGATCTGACCGACACTCGTGGAGGTCACTCATGGTTCAGTATCCTCGATCAGGACAAGGCATATCACCAGGGATTTATGGCGGAGGGGTCACGTCATCTCACAGCCTTCATCACTCTTTCTGTGTGGAGTTTGCATGTTTCTCCTCGTGTCTGGATGGTTTCCTCCGGGCGCTCCGGTTTCCCCCATCAACACAAAACATGCTACAGGTCTCCATAACAGTTGAAAGTCAAGGTCAGTGAAATACAATCAATCAATGAACCTGCCAAGGGACTACAGGTGGAAATTAGCACTGATGTTACAAGCTGATGTACAATGCATCTCTCCTGTTAAGGTTAATGCAAAAATTGTGCGCTGTCTCAAATAAATAAATAAAATTAAATAAAATAAAAGTATGGAGGAGATGTTAAGTTCAGTCAGAGACAATTGGCCAACATTTTGTGTTATGCACCGACATTTGAAGAGCATATTGAGGGTGTCAGACAAGTTTTGAAAGCACTCCAAAAACACGGTGTTAAGGCGAGACCTGAAAAATGTGAACTGTTTCTTAGAGAAGTGATATATGTAGGCCACCTTGTGTCAGCTGAAGGTGTGAGAAAACACGAGTTTGATGCTGTTTGCACACGGTGATCACACTTTACATCTTAGTTATGTCAAATTTCTCATTTATATGAATATGTGTAGTTCTGCTCAAATAGCACTCTGACTAAAGGTAGCACATATTGACAGGCCAATTTAGCCATCGAATAATGTTCCAATGTAGAATCACCATAAATGAATTTGGGCACAGCTCATTTCCACAGAAAATGTGGCATTTTCATTTTCCACACATTTTTAATGCTTATATCATCGGCTACAGTGTGAATTTCCTTTTATAATATAGTGATATTTTATTTATACAACGCCTTTCTAAACAAAGATACAACGTTTTCTACTCATGGAAACAAAATAAAATATGATGTAATGAAAATTATAAAGATAAAATCAAATATTCAATCCAAACTACTCAGTATCTGACGTAGGTTTTCTGCTGCAAATCCATGATGATTAACTGGTCAAAATATACAATAAAACCAATACACTTTTAAAATGTTACTTGTTGCTCCACTTCTGCCTCGGGAGCTCAAATCGACAGGACACTGGTAACAAGTGAGATTAGAAAACTCTTACCTGGATCCATTAAAGCTCTGTTCACTTCTAGTCATTCTTTGAAGCTTAAGCTTCAGCCTGCACCTTTTCGGTCTGTATATGTTAAATATGACTGTTTATGAATTAATGTCAAAATACACCTGTGACCCAAATAAATAAATAAATAAAGAGGCACTGCGCAAGAACGAATATGAAAATGCGATATAATCTGAAGGTAATCAAAGTCCAAACTGTCCCTGTAAATTATTGATGGACTAAATATCACAGCTGGAAAACGACCATAAACTCTGAAAATGTACTTACAATATGTCCAGTGTACGGTCTGGCTGTAATCCACCTGTAAACGTCACGGGTCTTTGAGTGACTTGAGTTCGTGGGCTCGTGCGCGGGACACTGCAGGACTGGACTGTGTTGGTCTGGAGGAGCGCGGTCCGAGTTTAAGCGGGTTCTAGTCTTTTCCGGACTTGTTCTGTTGGCGAGGTTACGGTTATTATATTCGCGCAATAAACCCTCGTTCATTCATAAACGAGTAAGACGCAACTGTTTAATGACTTTTACTTTCGTTTTTGCTGCTCGGTGCTCTGAGGGGAGAGTAAATTTGCGGGAAGATAATATAAAAACCGGTTCTGTGCAATAAACTTTGAATCTACACGTCATTTTATTCACAATAAAAATAACTTTTTCATGTTGATGAAATGGGATCAAATCACTCTGAATGTGAATCCATGCTGGACTAAACCAGGACCAAACCAGGACCGAACCAGGTCCGGGACTGAGACCAGTACTGAGACTGGGACCAGGCCAGGACCAGACCGGGACCAGAGCAGGACTGAAAACAGTTCCTGGTTTAGTCCTGTTTTAGTCCTGGTCCAGTCCTGTTTTAGTCGTGGTCCAGTCCTGTTTAAGTCCTGGTCCAGTCCTGGTTCAGTCTTGGCTTAGTCCTGGTTCAGTCCTGGTCCAGTCCAGGTTTAGTCCTAGTTTAGTCCTGGTTTAGTCCTGGTTCAGTCCTGGCTTAGTCCTGTTTTAGTCCTGGTCCAGTCCAGGTTTAGTCCTAGTTTAGTCCTGGTTTAGTTCTGGTTCAGTCCTGGCTTAGTCCTGTTTTAGTCCTGGTCCAGTCCTGTTTTAGTCGTGGTCCAGTCCTGTTTAAGTCCTGGTCCAGTCCTGGTTCAGTCTTGGCTTAGTCCTGGTTCAGTCCTGGTCCAGTCCAGGTTTAGTCCTAGTTTAGTCCTGGTTTAGTCCTGGTTCAGTCCTGGCTTAGTCCTGTTTTAGTCCTGGTTCAGTCCTGTTTTAGTCCTGTTTTAGTCATGGTCCAGTCCTGGTTCAGTCCTGGTTTAGTCCTGTTTAAATCCTATTTTAGTCCTGGTTTAGTTCTGGTTTAGTCCTGGTCCAGTCCTGGTTTAGTCCTGGTCCAGTCCTGGTTTAGTCCTGGTTTAATACTGTCAGACAGTATTTTTGATGAGGTGACAGCAGTCAACTTTGGCGTTTATGTTTCTGCGCAGCCCATTAAGCAGCATAAGAACACGTGACTTACAGAAATAGAGAAACGCCACAGCCACTAAATACAAAGGTAATATATGGAGTAAGAAAGCTGTCAAAAATATTTGTGCGCATAAAATAGAAATCCATGCGTATTTGGGAAATCGCAACTACAGCCAAATATGCACGGATTTCCCAAATACGCACGGATTTCTATTTTATGCGCACGAATATTTTTGACAGCTTTCTTACTCCATAGTAATACTCGTACAAGTCCAAATGTGGAAAATGTGACCCTGTAAATGACTGATGTAATAAAAGCTGCTAAAACAGTGAAATATACAGTCTATAAACAGAAACCCTGAGCATAAATGAGTTACATACGTGAGTGTACACGACACCAGAGCCCTTATTTGCGCCGTTAAATGGGATTATAAAGTAAAATGAAGAGCTTCCGCGTAAATGCACCGCGTCTCATCAAAAACACCGCAGTTTTTCCTGATAACCCACATGAAGAGTTGGAGGGAGAAGAATTACAGTCAAACAGCGTCAGAGCCGTAACAGTGAGATTAGAAAACTCTTACCTGGGTCCATTAAAGCGATCTGAACAGATGAGACAGAGAGGCGCTGCTCGAGGACGAACATGACGATGCAATATGCTCTGATGCAGGAATGAGGAGAGTGTGGGCCGAGTTTATGCGGGTCCTGCTCTTAACCCTTTAATGTTCACTCCAAGAAAAAAAACTGTAAAAATTATTTTTTTGTGTGTGCTTTTTAAGTTATTGGGTCACTAATAACAAAAATAAAAAAATATATATATATATAGACCTCCCAGTTTTAAAAATATATGCCTCTACCAAATGGTCGAGGTGGTGCTTGATGGTAAAAGTATCTAATACATATCTATAAATGTATATCATCAATAAAATTATTTAATAACTAGAAATACAAAAAAGAAAGTAGAAAACGTAAAAATACCAGAAAACAATTCATGTCAAATAAATGTCATTCCAACAAATGACTTTCGCTCCCATTTTCTGCATAAAATTCCAATACTTATGTGACAATAGTACTTTCAAAAACATATGGGGCATTTATGTATTTCCCCTGTCTTAAAATAATAAAAAAGGACACCTGAGGACCTATCCAACTTCTCAGTTGTGCTGTGTAAAATCTTTAAAGAACTTATTTTCTTGCATTGAACAAATTCAAAAAGATTTGTATCAAATCTCTCAAACAATATAATGATAACCAGTGGTAACCCTCAGCACATTATTTTTGATGATACGCTACAAAGCATTCCCTCACTCCGATCAAGCACAGGAAAACATTGCACTTCTCACATTTCCATCTTGACACACCCTTTGGGCAGAGGCTGCATCGTCCCTGGTTGTCAGTGTGAAGTGGCCAATGTCCATAGTTGTGGTAGCGTATGTCTGGTTGTGGCCGTGGGGTCTTGGGGGGAGGCGTTTCTTCTCACAGGACATTTATGGTGGACAAGCAGATGATGCTGACCAACTCTAGGTGCTGGCTTGTTGACTTGTTTCAAACTGTGGGCCACAGTCAGGCGAAACATTTTGAGAGGCATTTTTTTTTTCCTTCAGTAGGTCACAGTCTCTCTTGTAGACAAACCAAGAATTGGAAATGCACAGGTCAAGGGCGTATCCAAACAGGGGGAAGTACCAGCGTTGTTATTTGGCTGAGGTCTTGTACCCAGAAATTTGAATCAGGAAACTGGAATTCATCAATATCTACATGCTTCCAGATTCTCCTGGATTCGTTTTCTTTCTTTTCAGCCATTTTATTCTTCTTTGTGCATGGGGGTGACACAGGGGCCTCATCCAGCTCTTCCATTACTTTTTTTTTAAGGTGTTTTTTTCTTCTTAGCAGATGTGCTTGTAGAGGGCATCTCCTCTTCATCCATAAATTCAGTGGAAAGGTCGCCGATCACCTCTACTTGTTTGGGCAGATAATCAGGATCCCGCTATTACACATATTAAATAATTTCAGTATAATAACACTGTAATTGTAACATATTGGCAACAATGCGTCAACACAAGTGTTTTTATTCCATAAATAATAGTAAAATTTAATGAAATTAGCATAAATTCACCAAACTGTTACCATATGGTTGAGATGTCACTCCATGCAAAGTTTTACCATAGAGTGACATCTCAACCGTTTGGTCAAGCATGTTTTCAAAAAATTATTTGACCCTTATAAAATGTTTTTCTGTTGCAGCAAGTGACATAATTCCAGGTGGCCAGTGGCCCTATGCCACTGACCACCTGGCTACTGATTTAAAGTTGTTCTGACGCTCTTGTAATATAAATCCACAGATAAATTCTTAGTCCTTTATTGGCTTACCAATGCCATCCACATATTCCACAATACAAACAATGCGGTCAAAAACACGTTGCCTCCAATCAGCCGCACCTGTGGCTGCCTTCATGGCCCTTAAATATGTTAAGGAGGGCACCATACTGCCACACAGTGGATGGAGGACAAAGCAACAGGTAAGCAACAAATAAAAGGTCAAAATGGCTCCTACATTACCGGCGCCTAATTGTTTGAAACGGGAGAGAAAAACAATTACAAAACAAATAGTAAAAGGAGCCATTTTACAGGAGCCACGTGTACATTGTACATTACATTAACAAATCCATATAAGTACTCAGTAAATAGAATGAAGTCATCAACATGTGTCCAACATTATAAAAATCTTAAATGTCAATTTTTCCGTCGTTTTCTTTTGAAAACTCGAATTGGTTTCAGATGGACAATCTTGACAGCCTTTTCAGAATGTTTCAAAATAAGCACATGCAACTTCAAATTGGCCAAACACATTTCAAAATTGGACATGTGCACCTTTGTCAAAAGACCATTGCCATCGACCTTTAACAGTTTACCCATTGTCCGTTCTGCTGAATCCATATCCATGTTAACAGGCGCATCTGCATCAGGTAGAACTCCTTCCTCCATGTATCCTTTTCTCAGCACAGCAGGCTTTGACTCCGTATCTTCACTGCAACTGACAAAGTGATCCACAGTAGTGTCCAAACAAGTAGTCAGTTCATCCTCATGTATTTGAGACTGTTCATAAGCGCACTGGTCCTTAGTGTCTGATGAGGTCTCACACAAACTCACACCTGGTTTTATTTCTACAAACTCATCAGGAGAGTGAATGCAATCACTTTCAACGGCCCCTGTATGCAGACAAAATGGAGGGGAGAAAATGCTTGAAGATGGTGAAGCTTGTGGCGTCTGAGTAGTTGTCTTTGGGGCTTGTGTTTCCTTAGCCCTGCGCTTCTCCATTTTTTTCCTGTTGTATTCCTGTAGCACCCTTTGCTTAGCAGCAGCTATAGCAAGTTTAAGCTTTAAGCTCCAACAATTCTCTCTTTCTTCTTACAATTTCAATCTGTTCCTCCAAAGCTAGTTGCTCTTTAATGAATGATGCACGGGCTAAAAGTGCAGCCTTTTCTGCCTTAGCTTTTACAAGAGCTGATGTACTGATCCTTTTAACTTCAGAAGAGGAATTCTGATCATCAGTTCCAATTCTGCACATCCCATGTGACAAATAACTGTCATAATCCACTTTGTGATCCATACTAACAGTTAAATAGGCAAGTTCTTAAGTAGTTCTGGTCTTAGAGAGAATGATGATCCACCACATACCCTACCCAATGCAGGATTTTTATCTTGAGTCCAAAAGAAATCTCCAATCTTGAGCTATCAGCATGCAACTGACAGTTCCAAAACTCCACTTCCAGCCGCCTCCAACAAGTGTGCTGGTTCTTTCACTTCAGATCCAGTGTTGTAGCTCCTGAGGCACGTTTTTGACTAATGTAGCAGCCCTATGCCACTGGCCACCTGGCTACTGATTTAAAGTTGTTCTGACGTGCTTGTAATATAAATCCACAGATAAATTCTTAGTCCTTTATTGGCTTACCAATGCCATCCACATATTCCACAATACAGACAATCAAAAACACTTTGCCTCCAATCAGCCGCACCTGTGGCTGCCTTCTTGGTCCTTAAATATGTTAAGGAGGGCACCATACTGCCACACAGTGGATGGAGGACAAAGCAACAGGTAAGCAACAAATAAAAGGTCAAAATGGCTCCTACATGTTAGATGATGTAATATGTTGAAAAAACTGATTTACCTTTAAAAATGCAGCCAGACGTTGTGCATATGTCAGAAGTGATTTTTCTGTTTTTAACTTCCTAGAGTCACGATGAGTGAAAAGTCCTACTGTCAAAAAATAGAGTGCCCTCTAAAGGTTATTTCATGTATAGCATACTTCAACCAAGTAGTTGAGATGATCCAATCAGGTTGAGTTCA